AATGTTCATCGCCAGACTTCATTGATATGATAGCACATAAGGGTTGGACAAAGGATGAAAAGATACTGGGTTCCTTAGGCTTCTCATGTGGATACCATTAGAAGCATTTTACTTGTGTAGCTATTTTCATGAATCAATCGATCATCAACTATAGATTTTAAAGTAAAAAATTTAGCCACCCACTTGAACTTTTAATCAACGTCTACTTTAAGGGTCTAAACTAATGTATTGTAAACCTAATAGGCGAACAATACCTGTTGGTTTGACCATATAACCGGAAAATGGACCGACAACCAGTCAGGTAGTTAATTTAATAACCCTTAAAAAGCAGTCAAGTTACTGGTTTAATCGGGCCTGGGTGAACCAGCTACAATTTTCTTGAATTTTCTGGTTTTCATCTCTGTAGCACAGACACTTTAACTAGAGTAGCGTGTCTTTGTCGAACACGTGTTGATATTGACACTTTTCAAACACTTTAGAATAATCATTTTCTTTCTTACTATAGCTATTATATATTATTTAGCTCAAAGTTATTAACTATGATGCTCGGACTCGAGTATGGGTATCGAGTATGGGTGCGTATCTAAGCGTCGGATATTTTATTTTCTAAAATATAGGATAGAGGGACATGGCTAAAAAGAGTCTAAGTTTTGAACACAGATACATGGCTATGTCTTTCAAACTTCAATTTTTTTACTAACTTAAGATGTTATTTTGAATAGACCAGAATCAATTGTTCACAAAGAAGGAAATAGTATTGAATAAGGGGTTAAGACGAGTAAAATAGAATTTTAGGATTTGGTTTTCAATTATAAGAAGTTAATTACTAAATGTTATATAAAATAGAAAATGAGGGACTTGATTGCAATTTGGATTTAGTAGAGTACTAAATAGTATTATATGGAACCCATTTTCATTTTATACAAACAAAACCCTAAACCACCGATACGGAGAGGGAAAGATGGAAAAAAAAAAAAAAAAGAAAATAAAAGGGAAAGAAAAAAGAAAGAAGGAAAGAAATCTAATGCCGTCGCCTTTCTTCCCCCCTCTCGAAGGTGGCGCTAGGTTTATAGAAAGTAGAAATGGAAAGAAAAGGAAAAGAGGAAAAAAAAAAAAAAAGAAAGAAAGAAAGAAAGAGAAAGAAGAAACAAAAAACAATGAAGTGCCCGGTTGAAATTTGGAGGATCCGACACATATTTTATACCTATTCCTATAACCATGTCGTGTCGTATTCGACACGGGTACTCCAACCATTTTGAAGAGTTTGAGCATAAGAGGTTATTAGTAAATAATAAATAAGTGCTCATATATTAAAAGATTTCAACAAAAAAAATCAATAACAAGTATAAAATTAAAGTTATAATATATAAATGAAGAATTTAAAGAATTTAATCAACATATCGACAACGTGTCATGTCAGTACTTTTTGAAAAATCACGTGTCGACACGTCCGATGTGTATCGTGTGAGACACACATTTCCGTGTCAGTGTATCATAAGTTCTCATAAAAAGAAAAAACAAAAGCCCCAAGAATTATATTTTCTCAGAACAAATGCCCCCTTCAGTTTGCAGATTCTCAAAATTAGTGGGTTGCTCCTTTTATAGCTATTTTCTTTCTCATCCCAACTCTCCACTTTCAATGATAGTCAAGACAAAACCCCTGCAATTGTGAGACATGAAACACTTCTCTTCTAAAATCTTTGCTACCCAATTCAGTTGCAATTCACTCATTTTCTACAGCTTCTAAACAATTTTTTTATTCAAGTAAATCATTTGGACAGATTGATTTTATTTTAGAGATGTTCAATCAAATTGGAAAATAATAACCTGTCTATTAACAAAGATGAATTTGCATTTACTTTGTATTAGTGATGTGAAAATTTGACCATAATATTGTTCTTAAATTGTTTTCACACTATATATAAATATTTATTGATTTATTTTTAACCTATACTTTGACTATATTAGAACCTTTGACACTTGACCCTTTACCTTTTTTGGATCAATTCACAGGCCATGTTTGAAAACATTGGTCTAAAGAGAGTTGTGATATCATCCACTACATCTGCATATCTGCAGCCGCCCAAATAAAGACGGAATGACAGGGCCAGAAGCCACTTCTTGAAACTATCAATAAACTGTGGGACTCAATCTGTTAGGAAGATTCAGTTAATAATATAGTAATTTCATGCTATCTTATTACACATGCTTTAGGTTTTGACCAAAACAATGAGGTTATACTATTAAATGTTGATATAACCCGATCATCAATTATAAATCTTGGAGTTTGAACATTCCCCAAGAATACCTATCATGATACTTCAAAACCATAGAAGACATAAAAATGGTCCAGTCGACATCTTGAAAAATTAATTTTAACCGAATATTTTCTGATACAACTACACAATCAGTTGTCCCTCTTAATAAGAAATGGAATTTATTAGTACAATGTTCTATTATACTTCAATTGCTGCACAAAAGAACGTGAAAAATATGCAGAATCAATGGATTTATTTTCTAGTTCAAGCATACAAAATACACTTGTAGTTCCAAAGAACAATTTTAAGCCGGGATATTTTTTTCTACAAAATTTTCTCAAATGAACAAAAAGTCACTTATAAGGCATCTTCATTGAGATTGTAAATAACTCCGTATTACTACTGACAACTCTTTCATGACAATCATAGTAGACAACCTATCATACTCAACTTTTTCGTTATGTTATTTATTTATTTTGGAAATTTCATCAAATGAACAAAAACTCACTTATAAGGCATCTTCATCGAAAAATAAATGTGTACTACTACTGACAACTCTTTCTTAGTAATCATAGTTGACAATCTATCATTATGATCATATCCAACTTCAGTCCCATTTCCAACAAAACAATTCTTCATCACAATATTTTATAAACAAATTACAATCTGTAAGTTTAGAAAATCTTTGATTCAGAATCATAACAATCTATGTTTATGAAGTCCTCAACAAATTTTAAAAATATATTTTCTACTTGAAGATAAATTCTTCTTAAACAATCATTACCTTAATAAGTAAGATTTTCAAAGTCCTTACATATATTATAGATTTAGTAAACAAATATTCCACTATCTTGCTGTTTTCGTTTACAAAGGAACAAAGCACCACTAAGATAGAGATTGGTTTAATTGGAAGCCAGGGTGGTGGTGATCCTTGTTGAGAGAGAAGAAAGAGGCATTTGCTGGAGAGGGGGGAAGCTGAACAACAAAATGATATATAGTGTGAATGTGAAAAGGCAATTTAAAATGATTTCATCACATGCAGAAATATGAATAACGAACTACAAATCAATACATACACGTACACACACATACACATACGTATTTCACTTATAACATCACTCACAATGCTATAAAAGGAGTTTTCAATAATAATTAATTTTCGGAATAAGAAAATTATCTTTGGTATGTGAATGGAGTTGGTTCTTTAAATTTAATTAATTTAAGAGGTTATTAACTGGAAGAGGTGTCAAACTGTATAAATGTCGAAATTGAAAGCACATATACATACATCAGTATGTACATGCATCTTTAGTTTTGAATGTAATGTAGATGCATGCATGTATAGATTTATAATTCATTTACTAAATTTTTTTACTGATTTCATTACATAATTATAATTACACTCCTTACTGTTGACATCAACCACAAAAGAATATTCAGGCCACTCCCCAAAAAGAAGAGTAAAATGGCTCCTAGTTCTCCCTTGAATCATCATAATATCCCCAATAGCCCAACAAAACCCATTTTATTTACGCACGTGAACGTTTGTTCCCATGATAAGTTCTTTTTAATAGTGTAATGAAAATTTTCAAATAAAAGTAGAAACTTTAGAACCAAATTATTTTCCTTATGAATAAAAAATTCTCTAAGCATATAGATGTTATTTAGCATGAATGATAAGTAAATCCTCCTAGAATAGAGTCTAATCAAAATTACTTGGTCTCAGATATGGGAGTATAGTTGGAAATGATGATAATAATGACTTATCAACCAAGATTATAAGAGATCAGGTCTCACCTTGTTGGTAGCGAAAGAGTTCGCTAGTATGGTCATATAGGAAGAAGCTTAAGAAAATTATGATTTTCCTATTTGTTCAGGAAATTTCAAGGAAAAATTAACACAGCACACAGTCAAGTAGAAGCTCCAAAGCACACCAGGAGTTTCTAAACCGTTGGAGCAAAATGATATTATATAACCAAATGCATGGTGGCTGTTTGAACTTCAAGCGTATTTTTCATTTTTGTATTATAATGTACATCAATTTCTTTTACATGCCCCTATACACCGCATATAAATGTAAATGCTCAATTAAAGGTGTCGCTACTCTCAAGGCTTTGAGTACACATTGAAGGCAATCAAATTGGTAAGATCTTTTTATACTGATGTCAGAGGGAAATGTGTTGTACTCTTGTTTTGACATTTAAGTTCATTCTCCAAGCAATCCATTCTTTCTGATATCAACTCCAGTTTTTAAAAGTTTTATAGCTACCTCTTATACTTGACAAAAATTCCATCATTCAAAAGATGAATGCCAGAAATTCCAGTGCATACTTAGAAAAATCATTCAGAATGACTCCAATTATTCTGTGGCACAGGTTTTGCAGACAAAAATATCATATTTGCTAGTGATATGAAGTCTCTTTATTGCTCCCATACAGTTAGCTTTTATCTTTACTTAAATTGAAAAACCTCTAGGCATCTAGAGCTAATAGTAACAGTTTCTATGTATTTTTATGTGCAAAAAGGCTTTAAATACTCATTTAGCACTTTAGCTACGGGGTTGAATTTGCATAAAATACTATAATTTCTTCTTAGCTTCATTACTGCCCAGACTATAAGAACAGATACAACACACAACAGACAATGAAAAATAAGAAATTCTTTAGAAGAGCTTCCAAAACAGTAAAATCAACACAAAAGTAAAGAAAAGGGGGAAAAAGGAAAAAAAAATAGATAAAATACCAGAAGTTGAGCTAGAAGATGGTTTCCTGACCAAAATTTCAGTCAAGCTACTCTCGGTCGGCGCTGAGGTCAGTATCGGTGTCGTCTATTCACAAAAGATAATTATAAACAACATCAATAATTACAGCAACTAATAAAATTATACACTCTGGCAACCAATCAATTAGTCAATTGGAAAAAAAGATAATGAAAGCTTACAATTTTGAGTGATTGAAGCCTCTCCAAAATGGGGTCGACATCTTGTGTACGCTCGGAGACGGTGGTGATTCCATCATCGGGATTCTTACCGAAATTAAACTAAAAATGCAAAAGTAAATTCAGAAAAATGAGAAACACTAAATGATTATTAAAAAATCCATTGAAAAGAATGGAAAATGGATTGAAATTGCAGAGTTAATTTTTTTACCTGGGAACCTAAAAGAGATGATTCCGATGCACCCATGGATTAAGGAAAAATGCTCCACTGATCAATCAAGAACTGCACGTCTTGTATTATTACAACAATTTGGAAATATATTTTGGGTTATTTAATGGGCTGATGGGGCCAAGGTAGGACTTGTAGCATGTAATTATCCACATTGTTGTGGGCTCACAATTAGCATTGAGCATCTAAACCTCGTCTCAAGTAGCTTAACTTTCTATTGCTTAAAAGTAGCACTACGATATTTTTACAAACGACACTAATTGAATTGTTTTCAATCATAACACCAAACTTCTAAACTTTATTAAAATTACCGAGTAATTCCTAAAAATCAACTAAAATTTTGGGATGTCATAAAACTTTTGTAATCAATATTTTCTGGCAAATTATGTTCAATAAATATCATAATAAGTCCATTAAATGTTACTTGTGACATGATTGATCATATCTTCAACATCAAGTTGGGTCTCAAGATTGTACAATTTTACAATGACACTAGGAGGACGTAACTAGAGAAGGAAGCACTTTATACGTGTTTTTTGCTTTAGTTTATCCAATTTTATGTTATTAATTCCTCTCGATAATATAAATTATTTAATTAACAATGTGTATGTGGACAAGAGGAAGAAGACCAAGAGTCGCAAGGCTAGGAAAAGATATAAAATCTTTTTTCCAAGAGTATCCATTGAAAATAATCAAAATTACCAATTTTTTTGGGGGTAACTTACAAAAATACACTTAAAATCAAGGGCCTTCTGAAAAGTTATGTGAAAAGTTTTTTGAAAGCAAAAAATACTGTATAAGAAAAAGTGACACAATATCACTTTTTTTTTAATAAAAAATATGTAGTGACACAGTGTCACTTTTAAAAGTTTAGCCCCTGTTTATTTTTCATTTTTTCTTCATTAAAATGAAAAATATGACTGTTATCCATCACATCAAGCCATCAAACTTGAATTTCTATTTCTTGTGTGGAGCTCATAATGACTATATTTTTCTTTTTCAATTTTGCAAAAATTGAAAACAAACGCAAGTTTAGTACCACTTTTTTTATTAAAAAATTACATTAGATATCACTTTTATTAAAAAGTGATATAAATTTCAAAAAGACGACTGAAAAAAGTGACAAAAATTTAAAAAAATGACAAGTACAAAAAAAAAAGTGACAGAAAATAAAAAGTAAAAAACACTTAAAAAGTGACAAAATTCAAAAAAAATGATAATTAAAAAACAGTGATAAAAATTAAAAAAAAGTGACAAAATTCAAAAAAAGTAACACAAATTAAAAAAAAAGGTGACAAACACTCAAAAAGTGGCAACCACTCCTTGAATAATTAGTATCTATGTTATTCTGTTAAGACTTTTAGTAGAGATAAAAGTAATGTTCGTCACTAAAAACGTGATAGAAATTAATAAGGTGACTAAAAAAAGTAGTAACCACTAAAAATAAAAAAAAGTGACAAAAATTCAAAAAAGGTGACAAATGCTAAAAAAGATAAAAAAAAATTTAAAAAGTGACAAACTCAAAAAAGTTACACAAATTACGTTGTAATCTAATGAATTGGAACCCATAAAACAGGTCTTTTGATGAATAAATGGAACCATTTCGTATTATGATTCCTTTATAACACAGTATTTTATCAAATTAGTAATTTGGAAAAAGTGATTATCCAACAACACATTACATAGATACTCTAACTGAAGGGTTAATGATAATTTATATTTATAACTCGCATCCATTATACAATAATTCTATAATCAAATACAGTGAACAAATTCTTGGAACACATTTATTATTAAACCCACCATCCATCTCAGTATATACCATTGGCAATAGTTGCCTCCTCCCTTCGAAAAATCGGCCCACAGCAAACCCACCACCAAGCAATCTCCAGATCGTCAATCCCATAGTTTCATCACCATTCTCCATCTCGTTTACTCCTCCATGCACTTCACTTGGGTCACTATCGCTTTTATCATAGTTATTACTATCAGTCGATAACTCATACCGTGATGCTCATTTAGGCTGCACACTTGTGTCCTTGTATTTCTTTTTCAATCTCTCTCTCTAACAAAGTCATTTCGAGCTTTGATCCGAGCTTGTTGAGAAACAACATTTACAAGTGAAAGATGCAAACCAAATGCAAACAACGAGGCTCCACCAATGAAGTATGCAATTGTTATCACCGGCTTCTTAGGCATTGATGGAAAGCAAGATACCATCTGCAATTGTTTGTTCTCTTCACGAAAGTAATCTATTCAATAACACAAATGCGATAAAAATCAAACAACAAATATAATCTTTCACATATATCTTGAAATATACAAACGTAAACTTGTTCCTTTTAGGAAATCACTACATAGAAAAGGGCAACTAGCACAAAAACTTTGTCAAATTTTGTGTGATTATATCATATCAATTGCTCTATCACATACTTCTAACACTATTTTAACCTCCTTATAACTATTTATTAACAATTGGCCATGAATAAAAGCAACAGACTTCAGAAATTCTAAACTCTAAAATTTCCAGGTTTGTATCCATTATCGAAATCACTATGAAAATAAAAATATTCATTTAGTTGATCATTATAATATAGGGCATCAGAACAAAATGTTTAGTGATCAATTTCATCTTTCCTACTCCACTGGGAGGTATATGAATCGAAATATGAAAAGCATCAAAACGCATCTGTGTGAGGAATTCTATCAAACAGAAGATACGCAATAAATTTACAACAACAATCATTAAACTATATATAAATCCACATAAAATTAACACTAAAGAAATTCAAAAAATCTAGTAGATTAAATTAAATTTACCTAAGTGAAACTATTTCACGTTATTGGTTACAATTACGAATTCAACTTATTTAGAGAAATTGAGCTGATCACTGAGTTGATGCATATGAAAATTTATGTAATTTTGGGTTTCAATTAAGGCTTTTTTTCAGATATGAGCGGGTTGGAGCGTATTTTGAGTTAGGGCTTGGTTGGGGCTGTATATGATTTCTTTTCATCATTTTTCACGTTGAAGCTATGATTAAGTAAGATATTGATGAATAAATTTGTAATTTAGGGTATTAATTGATTCTCTTGGTTTTGGGCCGTCCTTAACCTAATTTCCTTTTTTTTTTTTTTTTGTCATTAATACGTTCATAAAATGTCCATCAAAAATTGATAATTATTTGAGCCCTTTTTCCAAAAAAATTTTGTCCTTTGACAAAAAAGAATATTTCCATTCTAAAAAATTCCTTTAAATTAGCAAAGTATATAACTAGTTATATATGATTATGCGGGCATCCCTATAATTGTGTGGCCTGTATAGTTGTGCCACCTGCACACCCTCATGGTGTTGGCGTGCTTATTTTCTCCCCATAGTAAAGTAGATTTTATACATAGAACTTTGCAATCGATATAATTTTCCATATTTCTGAGAAAGTCGGAACTCGGAAGCATTTTTCCGTTATGACTGGTGCCCTATCAAAGATTACTGAAATAAAATGTCTTGGTCTATATATTCTTGAGTTGAAACAGCCTTAGGATGGCTTGTCGGAATATTGTTCAAATGGTAACGAGAAGTAATTTTGAAAGTGATGGAAATAATTAACTATGAGAAAAACAAGCGAAAACAAAATGAGAACAAAAAACGATGAAGACCGAAAAATAGCTTGGGATGCCCAAGCTTAAGGCCACCCGTCCTGTGTTGCAATTACATTGGACATTTTATTGACCGTCCAGTACAAAAAATTTCACAATTGACTGTTTGAATTCTAGTGTCGTTTTGAAGTGTTTCACACCCTTTTGATTTGGTTTTTGTACCTTTTAGTGCATGGTAATTGTAATTCTATATATATTAGTGGTTTTCATAAATGAAAACATCTCACAAACGTCAAATTCATTCATCAACATCCAAAATCAAAGATCAAATCAGTTTTTATAATTTAGTTCTTTAGTCCTTTTTTTTTTTTTTTTCAAGTTTTGTTTACTTGATTCAAATATGGATTAAGGGTTGTTTACTACTACAAATTATTTGTCATAAAGCTTTCAAGCACTTACTCGATGGTGGCTAATATTATTTAAGAACAACGATTAATAATCGTGTTCAAACCTTCCGTGCTCAAACCTTCCATATTGACGATTTATTGTTGCTAATTTTATTTTCATTCCTCATCAATTTTGTTCAACATGGCTTGCTTTGCCACTTGGGATTCAATCTTATCATTTGATCGGTTGCTTCATTTTCTCTTTATGAGTCGTCAAATTGACGTTCTTTTCTCTTTCTTCACTTTTGACAATTTCAAACAAACTCATCTCCAACTCTTTGAAAGGCTCATATCAAATGTGAACTCTTTAAAAATATGCAGGCTGTGTGACAGGAATATTTTCTTAATTGCCCTTTTGAGTTTTTGAACATTATCTTGTTTCATGAAAAGCTCACTAAATAATATACTTCTGACTGAAATGCTGCGTGCATAATAGGAATGATTGTTTTTGGCAAAAGGGAGCTTTGTATGGACAACTGTTATACTAATTGCTGCTGTACTCATTCTTTTTTCCTTCATAACTGGATTATTTTATAATTTGTTGACACTCCGTTTAACTTGGATCCCAACAAAAAGGTATATGAATTGTTCTCGGAATATATTATTTTTTGGAGAGCATTCATTTGATGAACGGGCATGCTTTTGTTTTAGGAAAACTAAACATTCCGGTTGTGAAGTAATCATGTTATGAAATATAATAACGTTACTAATTAATTAGCAATATACAACATTCCAGTAATAGAGTTCAACAAAGCCCTGTGAAGGGCTATGCCGACCCTCACATGGGGTCAGCCTCACGCGGGCCCCGATGCCATAAAAAATGGAAAAAAAATAAAAATCCTAACCCCACCTCATGTGAGGATTCGGTAAGATCCCTGTAATGTACTGAGCTTGTACACCTAGCACTATCCAATAGAGTTAGAATGTGCGGAGATTCGATCATCTCGTATAACTCCAACTTAATTCAGTTTTTGTAGAGAGCAAAAGAAAATATTTTTCTTACTGCCCATACATGGGGGAAAGATTTATACGAAATTCTTCATACATTGCAAA